ATCACTCAACGACATCATCATAAGCTGCAAGTCCTCTGCGTTGTCTGCAACAATAATAGCATCATCTGCGTATCTCACGTTATTGATTATTTCGCCATTGACTTTTATTCCAAATTCCATTTCTTCCAACGCCTCATCAAATATTGCCTCAGAGTATGCATTAAATAGCAAAGGTGACAAGATACATCACTGACGTACTCCTCTTTTTATCTCAACTTTTTGTGAGATCCCATCATTTGTTCTTATTTGTGCAGTTTGATTCCAATACAGATTTTTAATTATTCTGATGTCTTTGCTATCTATGTTTTTACTTTCTAGAATTTCGAAGAGTTTGTCATGCTTTACCTTATCGAAAGCTTTTTCAAAGTCAATGAAACATGCATGTACCTCCACATTAGAATCTCTGCATCTCTGGATCAGTGTATTCACCACAAAAAGAGCATCTCTGGTGCCAAGCCCGTTTCTAAAACCAAACTGAGTTTCCTTAATGTCTATTTCCAGTTTGCTGAATATCCTTTTGAGAATGATTTTAAGGAATAGCTTGATTGAGTGGTTCATAAGGCTGATAGTGCGATAGTCACTGCATTTTGAAGCTCTACTTTTCTTCGGCAATGTAGTAAAAATAGAGTTCAACCATTCTTGAGGAATTTTTCCTTCATTGTATATTCTGTTGAATAGTGCAGTCATTTGTTCTATTCTATTATCATCTAACAGCTTATACAGTTCGTTTGGAATGTTGTCTGGGCCATTTGCTAATCTATTTTTTGACTGGTTGATTGCTGCCTGGACTTCAGACTTAATTATAACTGGACCACTTGCTTCCAATGGATCTGGTGTACAAACTCTAACGTCATCAAATAGATCCTCCACATACTCTTCCCATCTTTTGAGCCTGTCTTCGGGGTCAAATATTATAGATCCATTTTTATCTTTTAGATTTCCACAATTATTCTTCTTACTAATCCGTGTGACCTGTTTTATTTTTTTGTGAAGTTGCAAGAGGTTGTGCTGCTTGTCTAAGTTTTCTATCTCAGTACATTGCATCTCCCAATATTTTTGTTTCGCTAATCTTATTTTATACTTTATATCTTTATTTATTAATTTAAATTTATACTCATCAATTGCCTTATATTTTCTTCTTTTCTCCATTAACTGGAGAATTTCTTCAGACATCCAAGCTTTCCTGGCTTTATATGTTTCTCTTTTTGATAAATCGGATAATACACTATTAAAAGGTCTTTTGAATTGGCTCCACTGATCATCCACACTCACTAGTAAACCTATTTGAATACAAGTCACTGTTGAGCTTTTCGGCATAGGTTTTTCTCACATCCGGATTATTTAGACGATGGAGATTCAGCTTGACATTGTCACTTTTTTTGGGACATTTTTTGAATACTATTTTCAGATTGGCAACCACTGGATTGTGATCCGAATTAACATCTGCTCCAGGGTAGGTTTTAGCATTTTTGATGGCGTTTCTAAATCGTCTGTTGACCAAAATATAGTCTATTTGGTTTTTTATTATTGACTTTGAAGAACTTTTAGGTGATGTCCATGTGTATAATCTTCTGGGTGGTAATTTGAACCAGGTATTGGTTATTACAAAATCATTATCAATACTGAATTCTACCAACTTGTCGCCACGTTCGTTTCTCTTACCAAGACCAAATTTTCCAACAGTATTTTCAACTTCACCGCTTCCAACTTTTGCATTAAAGTCCCCCATAATGATTGTTGTATCTTCTTTTTTCAAAATACTAAGCGTAGCTTCTAACTCGTTATAAAATTCATTACACTCATCGATGGTGCTATCAGAAGTTGGTGCGTAAACCTGAATAAGATTCAACATGTTATTTTTGGCCTTAAGTTGAATGAGCATAATTCTGTCTGATGTTTGAATCGATGTAGTTATCATTGCTTTCAGTTTTGATGAGACAAAAAAACCTACTCCATTTCTGTGATTGTTACTATGTGTAGAACCAGAATATATAACAAAATTTTCTGAGGTGTTAAATTCACTACAATCAATCCAGTGAGTTTCACTTATTCCAAGGACGTCTATCTCCATTCTCTTCTTCTCTTGTTCAAGGTTTTCAACTTTTCCAGCTTGTAACAAACCCCTAACATTCCAGGTAGCTATTCTAATTTCATTATTTTTGTAGATTGCTGCTTCATTGTTCAATGACTTGCTGTTTGTGTTGTTATTCAAATTAACGGCGTTTGCGTGTTGCTCGATGTTGTTACTATTTTTCGATGATATTATACAAAATTAAAAGCTTCAATTAAACAAAATTAAAAGCTTCAATTGGTATAAAAGATAAACACTTACTGTGCGTTATATTATTTGATTACAACAACAGCATATATTTGCCAGCTGCTTCGTCTATTCCGTTTTTAAAAACTTTTAGCAGTTGAGTTGAAGAATCGTCTATTAAGTTTAAAGCAACTACAGTTGATAGAAACAACGCCATAAAGTCAGTGAGGATCTAAAAATTTAGTATGAATATGTCCAACTAAAAAGTTTTTTTAAGGATTCAAATAGAGTTGCCAAATAGAATAAATTTTTGCATTGATTCAATTGGATTAAATGGAAATAAACTAACTAACTTATATCCATTCATACGATATTGTGATATTTTTTTCCATTTGTTTTCAATTTAAAACCAGCTACACTCATTTCCTTTGATTGCAAGAACACACACAATGTAATAACAAATATGCAACAAATATGAAAAACATGCTGAAATTTAGTGCAAAATATAATACAGAAAGGATGCAAAGTACTTGCAGAACTTGCATTCTTTGCTTTATTACCCAATAACCCAAGAGATCATTTGAGGTCTCCTCTATTGTTGCAATTTTTTTTAATCCAAAATATTGCAATAATTTCGATTTATTAAAATATTTTTGATAAATTTTGACGGCCGATTTTCTTCCGTGTGTGTAATAAAGAATAGACTGAAATCGGTAAAACTAGACTAAATTAATATATTTATTTAAATTTGAAACATCATACAATTCTTTACCCATTATTTACTTTAACTATTATTTTTTTCAGAAGATTTAAAACATCATCCAACTCCTAACCCATTATTTATTTTAACTATTATTTTTTTTTCAATTATATGAGTAATATTAATTTTTTTTCTTATTTTAAATCATAACACTATATGTATTTCACTTTATAATTATTTCAAAAAACTATTTTTTTTTATTAATTTTCCTTATTTATCAATTTTTCTTTCATTTTTAGCACTTTTCCAAAAAAATTTGGAAAAAAGTTCTAATTAGTTTAACTCTGTGCGTCCGTATGTCCGTGTATCTGTTTACAAAACTGAAATTTTACATATGCATAGAAGAAAATTTTTACCTATCGCCTTTCGAAATTTGTAAAATTTGAATTTTTGCCACCTTAATATATTTCCGAAATTTCTATAAATGCAGAAAGCTAACGGCAAATTTCTTACTAATAAACATAAATATTTTATTTAATTCACGCAATTAACCCTAAAAATCGAACATTATGTTAACACCTCCTTAAATTTATTTACCCTTTATTTTGAAATACTGCATAAATAGTTCTTGCAATCCTTGGAAATGTATGCAATTAATTCCTAGGATAGTTTCGTACATCAATGAAAGAAATTTCAATAGTGGAGTAGGTATAGGATGTACTTGGATTGTTTTTAAAAGCAGTATTTTCAATTGTTGAAGAGAAAAGTGCTACAAAACCATTGGTTTGACTCAACTTCATTATTTCTATATGATTTTAATATTATAATTAAAAAAAACTTATAACCTTTTCAGGAAAAAATCGACAAATTATTACTATATTGTAATATATTGAAAAAGCAAAAAGTTAAACAGTTAATAGTTACTTAAATCACATTTTTTACAAAACTTGTTATTAAATTAATAATTTTTTATTATTTTAACTAATACGGTTATCTAAATTACAATTTCTAGTAATTTTAATAATGAGAGTTATTCTTTCAGCAAACGAAACTGTCAAATAGTAATTTTTGTTTATTCTAATAGTATGAGTAAATATTTTCTGTCTTTCTATATTTTTCTATATTCTCTATATTTGTTTATTCTCTCTTTTGTAAATTACCAATAAAATGGTAAAATTTGTGAAAAATTGTGAAAACGATTCCTGGTAGTTATTTTAATCATACATATTATTAATATAACAAATATGCTATTATTTTAATAACGATGATCTTCAATCTTGAGTTGATTACATTAACAATTAATGGGGTTAAATAAACCAAATTGGTCATTATTTCAGTTAAAAAATTCAATAACTATTGTTGCTATTTTTATAACCATTAAAAAGATTGCCACAACTACTAACTTACTACAAGTGTTAATAATTTGGTAATAACTTTACTATGTTAATAATCGAAAATTATTATTTTAATAAATTCTACTCTTAATGAAATAACGATAGTAATTTTAACAATCGTCAAAACAGTTTGTAATTAAATTGATAACAAAATTGGTTATATTAATAAAAAACTCTACTATTTTAACAAATTTGATTATTGAGTTTTTTTGCAACCAAATTTTTTCAATGCAGTCTTAGGCATTTTTTAAAATCTTTTGACAATTTTTTTACCTTTATTTTCTCACTATTTTTGTTTTTTAATTTTTTGACTCTTTTATATTGTTAATTATAAGTGTTAAACTTGACACTACTTTATGTTTTATATTTTATTATTTAAAATAAAAATATTTATTAATTCACATTTGAACATTTTTATTATACTTGTTATTGACTAAAGCTAGGTATCCTACAAAAGTATACTTAATCTGTACAATATATAATTATGTTTGTGTATTATTATAGCAATAATATAGTACATACAATAATTATACAACACATACGAGTACAATAATACGACATGTTTTTGTATACGTCACATTTTCGTACTGCTTGTTTTTACTTTTTTTTTTTACAATATATGCAATAATAGTACTCTCTTGTTTTTAAGGCGACACATCCGGACAAAGTGAACCACTTTTAAGTTCATTAGATGAACCAAATCAAACATCAACGTCAGTTGGGTCAGACCAAGAAATAACCGAGTTGGAATTGACATGTGTTTATTCAAAAGAAGATGTCTTGGCACTTGATAATCTGGAGGTAAGTTGCATTGCCTGACCAATTGCCATATTTCAATAATATTAATAATTAAGCAAAATAAAATAGTAAATATTAATAACCTTAAATGTTTAATATAAAACTACGGTAGGCTCGTCACCTACATGGTAAGCTGAATGACGTAAGAAACTGGTGCTCACGATTATCTACAATATCGTGCACCAGCCCTATGCTCCTCATAGGAGCGAAGTAGGAATAAAAAAGTTGCATTATTATACATATATAACAAATAATAATTTGCATGCTCGGCATATACAAAAAAAGAAAAAGATTAATGATTGTGATTTTAACTTATGTAATTACGGTAATAAGTATATACACTTACGTGAAAGGTCAACATACGAATTCTATTTTACAATTCAAAACAATATTTTTCTATCAAAATGAAATTTTTATGCTTGAAATTTTTTTATTTTATTTTAAATTTATCGGGCTTTATTTATGAATACAATAAATTAACAATTCTTAAATATAAAAACAAAAAAATTCACTTCATTTGGGTGTACCAGAAGTTCAAGTCTTAAAAGTTAACATTAAAATAGTATAATAAATTGCATTAAATATAATTAGCTTAATATGATGTTGGGCCTTTGTTTCGAATAACCTGCCTCAACCTATTCGGCATTGATTTGAGCAATTTTTGGAAAGTTGTCATATCAATTCCATTCCATTCCTGTTAGTTATGATTATGTGATTTTTCTTCTTCAGGCGTTTCTTAAGGTTTCTTTATTTTTTACTTTATTTTACTCGACTCTTCGCTTAATTTCAACCCATAAATGCTCAATAGGATTGAGAGCAGGTGATAAAGAGGGAGTTTTGAAAATCAAATAAAAACATCTGACAGTAAAAGAAAAATGTAGTACATTCTGAATTATACAAAAATCCATTGTGATTAAATGCATTTAATTGAAAACAATATTACCGTATGTTGATTTTTGCACATGCATGTATGCTATTTTATATCCTTTTCGCAGCATGCCTCATAACAGCCATAATGATATATATATTTGCTTATGCGATTTTTCAATATTATAGGTTCAATAATTTCTAAGATGAAATCAAATAACTTTTGAAGTTGAATGGCAGTTATCGTAAGCGCTTATGGTTTCTCAAAAGCTTTCATCGAAAATAATAGTCATTTTACCATATTTGTTTCAACAAAATTATAAAATAGTTGCTACACGAAGCGAAGCAATTTCAACAGCTTTTATTAAGCATTATAGTCTCAATAATATATTCGTTTGCAAAGAATTTTAATGCTATATCTTGTATAACATCTTGTTTAACTTTTGGATATATCCAAATAACTTTTAAAGCTATTTAAGTATGGCAAATATTCGAAGTGCGGTTTCTATCACATACAATTCAAAAAGATAAAATATATAATAAAAATGGTGTAAAAAACAGGTTACTCAAGCTATGTAGTTAAAAGCAAAAAAAACTTGAGTCAGGTAGAATTTTTCTTAAAATTCCAGTATCTTGCCGTTATGTTTTATCAATAACCGTTATGTTTTATCACCTAATTTCATTTTCATTGCCTTACGACGTGATATGGTAAAACACTTATTAGTGAAAAACTACAACATAACTATTAAATCAATGAATAATATGCTTATGTAATAAAATTCCAAAATTTAGAATCCAAAACAGTAAAATTTAAAAAGATTCCTTTTCTTTTATTTGGGCGAAACGTAACACGAATTTATTAAATAATCTTAGTTTATTTAATAATCCTAAATAAATCTCATAAATTGCATACAATTTTTTACTGAAAATATACCAAAGAATCATCCCTGAAATTATTAGCCAGCTTGTGCGAAACCCTGGGTAAAAAAGTGTAATTATGGAAAACAATGTTTCGGAAAATATTTTGTTTATAGAATTTTTTAAAAAAATAATATTTTTTCTATTAATTTCTAATAAAATTTCTAATGATACTTTACGGCGACATTTTAACCAAAAATGTGTTTTTACTTAAAAAGACATTACTTCAAAAAGTCTGATAACACTTTCATAAAATATTTTAAAGAGAGACACAAAATGCCCAAGAGATAAGTGTCTTAATAACTCTGTGGGAGCAAATCTTATATCGATTATATATGAAATTTAGCTTAAAACCTGAGAATGCAGTTGAAAGGTTTAAACTCAATATTAAAAAAATGTAAAAGAAAATTTTCTAAATATACCTGTTTAATAAATATGAAAAAAAAATTAAACTTTGGTTAAAAAAAAACTAAACTATCTCCAATTTGAACGAAATACAATAAAGACTTAATTTGAAATAACGGGATGTAGATATATTACAGTAAAATTTCAACGTTCAACACAAGTTTATTTTAGGTTAAGATTTTAATTACTGCAGTATGAAACATTTCTTACTTGAGATAAGCGGTTATAAAGTTTCATACTATTTCACAACGCAATTTCAAAAACATCACAGGAACAGAACTAGATAATGCATATATATAGCATATAATCATATGCTATAATCATATATGCAGCATTATATAAATCACATATAATGCTGTATAAATTATTATATAATTATAATGATGTATACTTTAATAATAAGCATAAAAAGTTTTATTTAAATCGCAAATAAAACTTAATATGAATTTTAAATAGATGTAAAAATTATCATAAAAAGTTTCCAGATTAGTGGAAACTTTTTACAGGGTATTTATACAGAAACCTCTTCGAGTGAGAAATAGAAAAATAATATAATATATGTATGATTATTTTAAATTTTAGTTCATAAATTTTTTAGGGTAAAAAAAATAAATTACAAATAAACACAAAAATAAATTACAAACTATTTTAACTTCTTTTCAATCACTCTTACAGGAAGAATCATCTTTAACAATCCAACAGCAACCATCGCCGGGAATTCCCAAAACAGCACCCAGTATATCCACATCATTTATTCATTTTCCATTCGATCCGCCATCATCCCCACGAAGTGTGAAAACAATTCAGAAAGACGAAAGTTTATTTACATTCAAGGAAGCTGCTACGTATTTAGAACAACATAAACAACAGAAACAGCGATTAAAACAACATCTGCATAATCATAGCCAAAAACATATAAAAGAGTTTATTCAATTTGAATCTAGTAATCCGATAACAGAAAAAATAGCACACAAAAAATTTACAAAATTATCACATAAAAAATTTCCTGAAGAAGAAGAACTTAATCATAATCGGCAGAATAAAAAGGAACTTCATCAGCAACAAAATTTTGGACAATCAAAACAAAACAGAAAATTATCAGTAAATAGTTGTTATGACTATGAAAACGGTGATAGAAGACCATCCACAAAATCTGTGTCTAGTTTCTGGAGCTGGAATATGGAACACGAAAAAGAGAACAAAAAACGTAAGGAAAGTTGTTGTTCCGCAAAATATATTATTAGTAGTAATCAAAGACCTTGCAAAACTGCACATGAGTTAATATGTGATATGAATAACTTTAGCAATGGATTTGATGATGTTAAAAAACAGAGAAAAGACAATAACAAATTGCAAACCAAAAACATTAATAAATTTTCTGACAAAAAATTAAGTCCAAAACAGCACGATAAATATCGTTACAATAGTAAAATAAATTCAGCTTCAGCTATAACAGCAATAAAAAAAAAAGATAAATATTCCGTTGACAATGGAGACAAATATGATCTAAATGATTTAACAATGTTCCCTTTCGATAAAGAAGCACTCGACTATCAAAGAATTCAACGAGAATGCTTTACAGTTGATAATGATTATGAAGATGGCGAAACACAAAATTCTTTATCTAATAAGTATTATTACAATTTTGAGGAAAATTCAAGCAGTACGGAAACATCGAGCGAAAGTGAAAAATCTATCTACAGAGGAAAAGTCATTAACGAATCAGCATCAAAATTGAATAAATATAATAAGACTGATATATTTCAACAGTACACCTTACTATCACAACAAGAAGCAACAAATCAACACCACCAATCGCAAGAGAAGAAACGCCAACATTCAAAGCAACGTAACCGTCCAGATTACACACTTCAAAAAACAAAATATGATCATATAATAGTAACTACAACTTTATCACCAACAAACAAAAACGTTGTGGACGCAGCATTTAGTCCTGTTAAACCACAAATTCCAAAAAACACTGAAAGTAACAGTTCAATATCACCACGTTCAATTAAGGATTTAAATAATTTTGATGACATATCAAACAAATTTGACAAAATTGTTGTAAAAGAACAATATCAATCACCGGCGACCAACGCTCTTTTTGAATATGATGAAAATCATCTTTCGAACATAAAATCATCGCCATCTCAAAATTCACTTCTTCCTCGAGTTATTGATAGTCTAATAGCTCAGGGGTCCAATAGTTGTGTGTCCAACGATCTCAGTTCTTCCGTCTACCATCGTCTCCAACATCATTCTGAACAACAAGAACGAAATCATCAACTAGAAGAAAATAATATTCCTAATACCAACATGACTGTAATAACCAGAACAACAGCCTCAACATTGACACATTGTACATCACCATTAGCTGATTTTCATGTAGATGTTTTCTTGGAACCATTAAATAGAAAACAGCAACATCAAAAGGAACAACAAGAAAAAGAACAACAAGAAATGATGGAAAATTCTCAACAACAAAAAGAGTCATCTTTGTTATCAACATCACCAGTATGTCACATATTAACAATTTCCAATAATAAACAAAAACTAGAACAGCAGCAAGAACTGCACGACAATTTGGAAGAATGCCAAAAACATTCACAAAATACTGGACCTATAAATGTAACACCAAATCCAATGGAAGTGGCAGTCTGTACGCAACCGCGAGCTACTATAGTCGTTCAACAAGTATGTTTGAGTAATATTTTATTCAATATTTAAAAAAGAAAAAAAAAAATTTGTTGTTTTGGATCTCATATTTTATTTGTTGTTACAAAGAAAGGAGAGGAAAATTTTAATCTCATTTTCCCATAGCGTATATATTTTTAACAATATTTTTTCTTTAGAAAACGATTTCTTTAGAAACGATTTTTTCTTTTTCACACTTTAGAGATATAATTGTAGTTTTACAGCGAATTAACAAAATAATTTATAAAGAAAAAAAATTATTAGTTTCTTTAAAGCAACACAGAAAACTCTAAAAAAAAAATCATTTAAGTGGTAAAATAAAAATAGTTTAGTGGAAGTCTTGAGTGATTAATTTTTCGTTAATTTGATATAATGCAAAGAAAAAGTAAAAATCATTGATATTTTAAAAGAAAAAGAAATTGCATTGATAAAGTCAATAAAGTGCATTTTATTTAAATTTATTAAAAAACAGTGCTTCATGATATAAATGATAATAAAAAGAATTTAATTAAATTTGTAGTTACTGAAAATTTGTATGTACTTACGTACAGTTTCAAGCATATATATACCTATACATGACATTCAAAAATACTTAATGTTTTCATTAAATAATTTATGGTTAACTTTAAATTTACATTATACTTAATACTTATAACTATTTAGCACAATGTAAATTTATTTACAAATGTTTACTTAACTTAATGTTTACATTAAAATTCAAAAAATTTAATTAATTTAAAAAAAATCTAAGTAAAATTTTAAGTTTTAAATATAAAACAATATGGGAAGGCTATATAATAAATTTTATAACACTGTCCGGCATGGTTCAAAGGTAAATATTTTCCAATAATGTCAATAAATATGAATATTTCTGAATATTAATTGAAGAATAAGAATGACTCAGTCATTGTACCGATTAAAGAAGATTAAACTTTTTGAAAAGAAAAATATTTGAAGTGTTGCTCACTTTGTTAAAAATACAAAGAAATTACGTTTAAAGTTTATTATGCACGCTAGTATACATATGTATGTATGTATGCTCATTTTAAAATTATTATCACCTATAAGAAAATTTCTTTTAACAATATTTTTAATTCAAAGTGAAAGATACTATATTGTTTACATAATCATGCATTTAGTTTTATATTTTATATCAAAAAACGGAGAAAGATGGGAACTTACTTTATCTATTTGAAAATTCTTTTTAAATATCAATGTTTAGAATTAGTTTTTGAAATTAATATTTTTTTTTATATTATATTTTTAACTTATTATTAGAGGCTTTAATATTAAAGTTGTCTTTTAAACAGTTGTTTTTCTAAATAACAAATTGAAGAAATTTTATATTTCTAGCATCTGTAATAATCAACAAGCATTTTTTTCTTTCTCTGCGTTTTACTCTTTTAATTTTCGACCATTTATTTTTTCAAAAGTTACATTATGTATGTATGTATCTTATCATCAAAAGCTATTTTAATTATTACAAATTTAAATTTTTCGCATATTGTTTCTTCGAAACTACATATTTATGCCTTTTTTACAATGTCCACAAAAGCAAAAAATATTTCACCATCAAAAACTGCAATATTTATCTTTATTGTACAATTTAGAATTGGAAAGCACAATTTGCTAAATTTGGAAGACCTTCCAAATTCCCATAGTTTAAACTTGTTTTGTTTGCTACAAAAGCTGTGAAGGGATGCTGTGGGCAAAGTAAACTGGGCGATATTAAGGGGTCTTGCAGATAAAGAGGCTAGCCTTTGAAAGTATTAGCTGGGTGACCGCCGGCAAAGCTTTTGATTGAGTCTAATTGTACATATCACTGACTCACCCCGTATATGTATGTCTGTATTTTTTTTATTTAAAGGCGCTAAAATTTATTTTAGAAAATAAAAACCATTATTAGTCGGAAAAATATGTTAAAATAAATTGAAGTAAAATATTCATTTTACTTAAATTTTTTCTCGTTGAAATTCTTCAACGAGAAAAAATAGAGTTGACCTTGTCAACTCTGTGATACCCGTACGAATTTGTTATTCTGTGTGCGAATAAAGACGCCATAACTGATAAGTTGCCGTATTACAATATTAATTGTATGGCAGCTACCAGAAAGAGCCAAGAAATTTTAACGAATTTTATCAAGCAAATCGGCCCTACTAATATATTCGCTTGTGTGAAATTTCAATACCATAGCTTTTATTGTTTCTAAGATATAGCCAAATAACTTTTGAAGTTGTACGACAGCTACTAGAAGAAGCCAAGCAATTTCAACGACTTTTATGAAACACATTGGCCCTACTAATATATTCGTTTGTGTGATTTCAATGCCACAGATTTTATAGTTTCTGAGATCATATAGCCAAATAAATTTTGAAGTTGTATGGGAGCTGCCTGAACCAGTACCCCGATCATGTCCAATTTAAATAGGGTTCTGGCACTTGATACAATAAATTATTTGTGAAAATTTGGTGAACTTAGCTCAATTAGTTTTTGAGTTATCGTTAGGACGGACGAACGGACAGACAAAGCTAAATCAACTCAGAATTTAACGCTGATCAAAAACATACACTTGAGTCTATATCTAAGACCGTTATTTCTTAGCGTTACAAACGATAAGACAAATTTAGTATACCCCTCAAACATACGTTCGTACGGGTATAAAAATAATGTTGGAAAATTATGCGAATTAATACAATTTTTGTTGAGAACTGTATTTGACAATATGATCAAAGTTTATTGTGGAATAGTATTTTTCAGTTACCGAGTCATTCAAAAAGATTTTACAGATTGTCTTTAACTGATTTTATAGGGTGGTCCAAAACTGGTGCTCTAAAGCTCTCCAGAGTGATTTTTTTAAGAAAAAGATTGCCACATGAATTCCCTGAAAAGTTTGTCAGTTAGTTCCGGTAGCAAACAGAACTTAAATATTAAATTTCAGGGAATTCCGTTATTTACTGATATTTACAAAAAAAAATTGCAATTCATTTACTCTAAATTAAAATATTAAATTTTAAGAGAATTTGTTGATTTGGCACAAAGGATCAGTTGCTGTTTCCTGATACGTTATTCTCGCGAAAAATTAGGTGTCTTCTTATACTGCCAAACGAAGCTTATATATATATATAGGATGTTCGAGACTCAATAGTATCAGACTCAATGATTTCCGAAACAGAGTGGTAGAATCCAGACGAACAAAAATCACCTACTTAAATTTTTCTTTTAAAAAAAATCGTAAAAATATTAAGCATTTAAAAGGGCGCAAAACAATTTCTGTAATTTATTCCAGTGCAAAGTTGAAAAATTTTATATCCACATTATAAAAGCGAAGCGATTTAAAAACAAAATTTAAGTGTCAAAATAAAAAAAAAAAGTTATTATTTATATAATATAATTTTAAAAAATAATAAGAGTAATTCAAAAAGACAAAAAATACTAAAAAAAATTTAAATTTGTAATTATTAATTGTAAATAAATGGAATAAATATAAATTATTAATTTTTCAATTTTTTCTCTATAAATTTAAAACACATGAAATTTTAAACATATCTTTAATTTCACACAGTCAAATGTTTTTACCTAACTTTTCTGAAATGAAATATAACATAGCTTTTAAAAAATAAATTTTCAAAATAAAAATAACAAAATTTTTACCTAACTTAATATAATTTTTTTTAATTTCGCCATTTTTGATAATTCGCTTGTTTACAATATTTTGTTTCTTTTTTGCTTATACAACTCTTATTACCATATATTTCTTAATAAAAATGGAATATTTTGAGAACAGTGGAAGAAAAGGAAACGAAAAATAACGATTTTAGCATGTCAAATTACTTATAAAATAAATGTGCGTTATGTACTTTGACACCAAATTCAGATGTCGAGTTTTTGGCGGAAATAGTTTCCATGGTAAGAAAGCGTAAACATACCATTTTTAGCGATAGGACGGTTTGTCTATGTGCCATTATATTGCAATTGCGACCGAACTGACTTTGATGACAAATCAGATCTAGGTTTACTTTAACTATGTCACAATTTTTTTCAGTTTTTATAATATGTCAGATTTCGGTAACTAGGCTTTTACTATTTAACCTACTGGTAATTAATGATTTTACATTTTTAACCATTTTTAGAAAAATATTGACATAAAATTTTAAAGAAATCAATTGTCAGCAACTGACTTTCTACTATCAGCTGGATTTAAGTTCATATATCAGGGAAATGTGATTAAGTTCGCACATCAGGGAAATGTTGAGTATGTTGAGAATAAGTTTGTTAATGATCTTAAGATTTTAAAGAATTGTTTAACGAATACTTTCATAACCTTTTGCCACGCTTTAACAAGCATTATACTTTGCTTTAGACTGTGCTGATCTCATCAAATTTTTTTTTGGCAGAAAGAAATTTCAGAATAATTATTTTTCACATATGGATTTTCATTTAAGGGAACTTTAGTCCAAGTTCCATCAATCGTAGAAGAGTAATGTTGTAGTTTACGAAAAATAATATCTCTCCCACTTATTTTAATTCTATCCATAAAACTAAAAATACGTCATCATTACACACGAATACAGAAAGGTTTCCCACACATTATCATGATTTTCATATTATACAACAATTACATTATTATTAAAATAGTTTGTTTAATCAAAATATTGATGTCACACAGAATTTGACAGTGATTCGGTTAAAATTTAGGGGATTCCAATCATAGTACCAAATGTGCGAAATCAGTTAACTTCGCTGATCAAGTTATTTTAAAACAATAAATGTGTTTATAACGCAAAAAAATTTTTGTTCTACAAAATCTATTTAGATGAATAACATTTGAAGTTAAGTTGTGCAATTTAATAAAATCAATATATTTTTGTTCTGTTATACTTACATTTTTTCATAATTTTGTTAACCAAATAAAAATGTATATATAATACAAAATATTTAAGCACCAAAAATGTAATCTAAAAAAAATTTCAGCATTATTAATTATGTTCATTATCTAAAATAAATTATATTATTAATTATGTTCATTATATCAGTTCCTTTATATTTTAAGTTACCGAATTTTGAGTATGAAATCCAAGAAAACTAATTGAATCAATCAGCGCTAACATCTTTTAATCACCTGTAATAGTGCAGATTAACAGACGTTAGATAAGTTTTAGTATAAAGGCAATCTTCAATAATTGATAAACCTGTTAATTATACAATTTATTTTAAACTATTAATTGATTTTTGTTTTTTTAACTTTAATTGTTTTACATTTTAATTTAAGTTTCACCAAAATCCTAAAACCATTCAAATTTTATTCTTGCAGCCTTCCCTCAGTTTGGATAATACTGTTGAAACAATGTTATTGAAAAATGAAGGGGATTTTGAAAGCGTTGAAAAAACTCGAAAGTCTTCGAAACATTCTTTCAAAGACGAAAATAATGTGAGGCAATTATTAGATGTTACAAATACACTAACATTTGAGGAATTACGTGATTTTGAAATGAGGTAACAGTTCTTTTAAAAATGTAAATATTTCTGAAAAGTAATATCCAAATAATTGAAAGTGCACTTTAAATGAACTTGTGAAATGAATAAATACAAAGATGCACAAATGTTAAACGATGCAAATATACTTCAACGTGATCAGATTTTTTATTTAATATTGTAGATTGTAGATGTGCAAAACGAAAGCAACAGTGCACGGCAACTACGTATAAGGATCTATTGTGCCTCCCCCCCCACTCTGAGTATGGGGTATGGCTCTGCAGAACCCGTTTGGGATCAACCACCCTGAAGTATTCGAGCAACTTGTGAGGGCGGAGGACCGCAACTCCGCCATTCTCATGCGGGCAATAGCCAGACTCTATCCCAAAAGAGGTACTGGCTTCACCTAATCTTGCCCACAAAATCAGTAAGTGTCTTCGCTTACCAGGCCAAGCCTACTAAGGTGCTTCCTACGTCCGCTGTGAATCAACAAGACTCCGAAAGACCACCTTACCGCTCATACCGCTTTCGCCCTGATTCTTTCCGCAGAAGAGCTCCGGCACAAGGAGACGCGTAAAAGCGTCTCCCCTCTCCTCTCTCCTCGCCAGTGCATGAGCTGCCTCATTTCCTTCTACGTGCGCATGGTCTGGTACTTAACACAACGTGACCCGGTTGCACCCATACATGCCCGGATGACCCGCAAAGACACACCCTCTTCGTGGCTTCGTTAAAGAGACTTGCAATCGAATACTACCCCCAGATATTTGATCTCAGACTTCGTTTCAAAAACCGCCTCACTGAATTATGTAGACCCCTCTGGACTATGTCACAAAGAGTCTCCCAAAACTTGCTTCTAGCGATGATGACAATATTATTAGAATAGGTCTGGACATCAGCCTTCGCTGGTAAAACTCTACTCCAGGAGCCTTGAATGCCTATAAAGTGCCAATAGCCGGAGGTGTCTCTGAAATAGAGTTATTTAGAGAACTCTAAATAGAGTTCCACGCTAAAATTTTTTAATTAGAGTGCACTCATTCTTTATATTGTATGAGTATACTATAATGTATTACTCAAAATTAAAATAGCTATTTATAAACAAGTAATAGTTTACTAACCATTTACCCTATATCTGATATAGTATTATAATCCTTTATATTTTTTTATGTACATGCATATATTTTTTTATGGTTTAATTTTCCATTATGAAGGTGTTTTTTACACGTAGAATATTTTAAATACAACTTTACAATATACAAAAATGCATGGTGTTTTTGAACAGCTTATATAAAAGCTCAGTGATTTAAAAAGGCCGGCTCAGCGACTTAAAAATAAATTATGTATTTATTTTACGATGCACAAAGGGTCAAGTTTACAAAAAAAAAAATAGCAGTAAGAATTCCCACAAAAACTAAACGTTGATGCGAGGTGTTGTTGTTGCCGTTTTATTAGGTCATTTGGAAAATATAAAAGTTCGGTGTAGGACTTTATTTAAGGCTGGACCTTCCCCTTTGTTCATCTCATTTTACTGTCCTAATAAATTAAGATGTTCTATATAGGGTCGTTGGACCTTATTCTGTATATTCTACTGTATATATATAGGTTCTTTGAATTTGATAAAAGTACATACAAATATGTCTAGCATAAAATTACAAACATATCTAGCAGATGTAAAAAAAATTTAATTGTCTTATATTACTTGTATAAATTTTGCTTAAATATTTCAGTACATATATATGTACGTAAGGTGTATTTAGGTGGTGTATTATTTAGATTTTCAATCTAAATAATACACCACCTAATTCAATTTCAAATTAATTTAATGAGAACTAAAAAATAAATATTGCGTATTAAGTAGTAATAAGTATGCTTGAGCACGTTCTGGGGTATATATTTACGTACATACATACGTCATATATTCATAATTTAAAAAATTTCAGAATATTTCTCTAATGCGACAATAATTATTTGAACAAAATTTAGTATTGGGAATATATATGTACATACATATGTACTTATACCATTTTCATATGGTTAATTATACACATATGTTCACAAATTCATGTGTATTGTTATTTATATACTATGTATATTACTTTGATTTATACATAAAACACACATGAATGTCGTTGAACTAGATATTTCCGATGTATAATTTAGTTCACATAAAATAACAAACTAAAATTTTCAAAATAAACAATTTTGCAGAATATTTAACAAGACATGACGTAAAATATTATTATTACTTTATATTAATAGGAAAATTGAATATTTATAGAAATAATCTAGTTGACCATAGTTATACACGAAAGACAAAAAAATATTCAAAATCTCATTTAACTTTTTCACAACCGCTTTCTTATAAAAATGTAAAAATGTCTGAGTATAAAAACTTGTTCCAAAAAACTTTAATATGTGGAACCTATTATTGGGCACATGACGGTAAAATCTCATGAATCTTACTTATTATTTTTCCCAATATTTAAAATTAGCTTTTGAACTTGTATGGTAGCTACCCGAACCTATCAAGCCATACAGTAAAAACTTCGGGGATGTATCTGGACTATAATTTGACATACGATTCTCAAATTTCATACAGCTAGGTTCATGTTTTTTTACCAATACTTAATATTGGCTTTTGAGATTGAAATATTTAAAATAAGTTAGGTTCAATTCAACTTCAATAGGGTTCGTCCTTGGGACAAAAGAAGCAACTTCCGAAAGTTTGGTAATATTTGCTTTGTTTGTTTTTGTGTTATCGCCGGACGGACATGTCTAAAGCAACGCAAAATTTTACGCTAAGCAAAAATATATACATATGTCCATACCGCAGATAACTCCTCCAAGTAGTTACAAACTCCGTACTAAAGTTGATATACTCTTCACGAAGGTGCAGGGTATAATTATTTGCGATTACCTTCCAGCAGCTGTTGTCTTTTTTGTTTTGATGGAATGTATTACCATTTTTATCCCGATTAATTTTTTTTTTCTGTTTCTAAAAATTTTGTTTTGCCCTTTCAAAAAATTACACAAATAAATCTTTCAATGTTACGGTTTAAGCTATTGAAATTAGAGGTATTGAAATGAAAAAAGTAGTGTAATTTATATCAGCTTTCAAGTTTAACGCTTTGACAAGTGTAGTAAAGTTGGTAATCATAGGACCATTACCTTTGCAGAATGCAGTTTCACATAATTATTCAATAATAAATGCGTATCAATCAAAACACGATCAGAAATCAGTGTTTAAATCAGTGTTTAACCAGATCCATGGCATTGGTAATTTCCTTACTAAATTGTCGAAATTACAACGAAAACAAAACGCTTATATCGTTGTAAAAATGCTTAATCTCCAAAGATATTATAAACGGCTTAAGTATTAGTATAGCGGTGTCTACACCGCCTATTATATACGCCACCATTGGTATATTGCAGAACATATATATATATATATATATATATATATATATATATATATACATATATATAAGAATGCATATATAGCAAACATATAGTAAGCAAATACTGCTTAAAATTTAAAAATAATAAGCGAAAACAAATATCAGAGTTGAAATAAACATCAAATCCTTAAAATCTATGTGCGAAAACTCTTCCTATGTATTCTGATTTTATAGTTGTTTTTTATTTCCTTCTATAATATAATTTTTTTCCAAAACTTTTTCTATTTTCAATAATGAAAATTTTATAATCTCCCTTATAAAAAACAAATAAAGATATGGTTCACCGCACCATTGCCGATCGCAATCGGTTAAGACACCCAGAGCATCTGGTAGACCAAATCAACTAAGTTTACCACAACAAAGATCAAGGTAAAATTTGTACATAAATCTTAAAATTAGTCGATGTTTTTAGTTTTTGTTTTTCAAATACAAAAGTAAAATATTATAGCATGCAAATTTTTTTAAAAATATTCATTGAAAAACCTCGTTGAAAATTCGTTTTTGCGAAACATTTTCAATGTTTGAAAAGTTTTTATAAACTTTATAAAACTTGAAGAAACTTCTAAAGGTTTATTATGCAAAGCGTCTGGTATAATAGTTTTTAAGAAAAAATGATAGAAAATGTTTTAAAGTTTTTAAAAGCTGCAAATTTTCCATCTGGTTTATTTTTTTATTAAATCAGAATTTTTTCTTTACGTGAAGTAAATGAGACTGTAATTCTTCACTTATACCAACTATAAATTTTCAATAAAATTTTAGCGGTAAATTTTGAATATTTAACTAATGTTTTGATATCTAACAAGTCCCAATACTCAATTTTTTTTACGAAATGTTACGAATTTTTGGCTTCGTTGCTGGTTTTTTCTTTAAATGCCACTGATCGTGTCATATTTTTTATTATTTTTTTCTTTTTTTTTAAGTAAAAAAGAGTTTAATATTTTAAAAAATCTCAGGATGTTATACACATTTTTTAAAAAGCTTCCCATTTAAATTCTATTGCACGAAAAAGAAAGAAAGGTAGGAGGAAAGAAAAAATGAAAAAAAAATTGAAATTCATATTTCAGTATGGTTTCAAATGTTAATGAGGAAGGATGTATGATTTTTCATGCACATTTTTTACTTCCCAATAAGGCAAGTTGAGTAGTGTCGGCTAACAAAAATGTTATTAAAAGTAATATAGGTTGACACATTTCAACAATTTGAACTATCTCATTTCGGTTATTTATACGTTACTTATAAAATTGTTTCAAATAATTTCAGTTAGTTTTTAAGTTATTAAAAATAAATATGTATGTACCTACTTCCAAAAAAATTTTTTTTTAAATAATTATTTTAAAATTATTTAAAACATGTTATATTGAGTGCTTCAAAAATTTTGCTGTTCTCTTTTTTCAAATTTTATTAGCAGGTAAACAAGAGCAATCTATTTATAAAATATCCCTGCATGTGTATGTATGACCTACCTTAATTCTAAACGGAAAGAATATTACATAAAGAATAAAAATTTTAAAATACCTGTTATTTTACAGTCGGAATTTTTGAGTCATTTGGTAAAATACCATTTATTTCAAAAATAAAAAAATACTCAAATCCGGTCATAAAAATATATGATTGTTTTTTCCAAACATTTTAAATATTTTTTTTCTTAGGTAATTGATATACTTAAATGATAGTAAGTTTTTAATATTTTTTTAAATAAAAATAGAGATAAAATTTTGAAGTTTATACAAAATTTGTATTTAAAAAGTAATATTTGATCGTATTTTAGATATTATTTTCTAATTCCCTCTTAAAATTTTTTCTTTACTATGTATTTATATCAATATTTAAGAATTATCTTTCATTAATTATATTTCAAGTTGAACACCACAGTTACTCCCCATATCTTGAGTTAACTTACCCTATGAGAAAAAAAAGCTGTTCACTTAAAAATAATGAAATGCTTTCAGTAACTTTAATAAGTGTGAATTTATTTTAATATTTCTTCTCAAAAAATAGCCACTTCGATTTAAAAAAACCCATATAAAATAAGGTCGTGCTTTCAAGTTTCTCTCTGAGCATTGGGACTTGTTAGATATAAAAACATTAATTTAACATTTAAATAAATTAAAGCCTAAAGCTTTCTTTTAACTCATAAAAAATATGCACAAAATTAAGTACCTGAATTTGTAGCTATATAACGAATTTTTTTTTGGGTTAATTTTTAATAATATTGCGTAAATTTTTATGTAACGAATTAAAAAAAAATATTTTTATAAGTTTTAATAATACGCGTAAATTTTTCTAAAACTTATTAAAAATATTTTTTTCTAATTCCTTTTGTAAACAATGCAAAGCTTTAAATATTACATAGAGTGGTCGAGAACTCGTGTTTAACCTCCCGTGAGCTGATTCCTTGTAACTTTTAGTAAACAAAATTGTTCAATCGTTTAAAATTTGAAAAAATTCTGCATGACAAGTATCCATAATAGGTTAAACTAATGCAATGTTTTGTTGGCACACAAATTACATTACCATCTTCTGCAACTTGGTCATATACAATTTTCTTCTACAAGTTGATCATGGCTCTAGTAAAATTATAATTTATTTATTAAATATTGTTTTTTTTTATTTTTTGCACATAATGGAAGTCTTTACTTGTACTTTTCTTTTGATTTCTTTCCGAAATTCTATGATAACTTTAACACCAGTTTTGCACCACCCTGTACAATAGTATTTAAAAATTAGTGTTTTTCGTTATGCATTACATAAGATATTTTTTTGTATGTGCTATAAAAAATATAAACTTTTTTTTTGTTTTTATTAATTTTTAACTATTTCAGAGTTGCTTCCATGCCGAATACAGGAGTTGAAGAGGAGTATTATAGATTAAGGCATTTTTCAATAACAGGAAAAGGAATAGTTAACAGAGGCGATTCATTAAAAAGTCGTCGTAGTCGCTCAAATAACAGTGTTCGATCAAATAATAGCTCCAATTCTAGGTATACATGTATCATCTTTTTTTATATAAGAAAATAATTTTCTATTTCCGATTTTCATGGTTTTGTATTTAAATAAATGTAGCACCGAACATTTAACTGCCACAATTCAGGGAATACCACCATGTGTTGGTTCAGCAAGAACATCAGCAACATGCAGTTTAGCTTCAAGCAGAGAAAGTAGCACATCAAATCCAGGAAGTGGTCCTTATAGGTTTATAATATATAATTCTTAAATATATTTAAATAATTTACATATTGCGTTTTTACTTTTTAGAGTACTAATGTTAGGCGGTCCAGCTGTAGGAAAAACTTCTTTAATTTCACAATTTATGACTTCAGAATATTTGCACGCTTATGACACAAGCATAGGTTTGTGAAATATAATTCTTTAAAATTTTTAGTTATGTATGTGCACATACGCAAAAAACTCATGATCAATACTTTTCTTAAAATAGATGATGAATCAGGTGAAAAATCTGTCAATGTCTTACTAAACGGCGAAGAATCCGAATTAATATTTATTGATCTTGCTAGCACAGAAATTTCGGTAAGAATTTAGTGATATCTGTGTATAAATAAAAATTGTAATACATATATGTACATATATATATATATATATATATTACAATTATTAATTTATACATATATGTACATATTTATATAATATATTTAAATATTATATAAATATTAATATTATTAAATATATTTATTATATTTATTATCAATTTTTATATCGTTTTATTTAATTATTATTTCCTTAGCCCGAAAATTGGCTATCAAACTACGATCCTCATGGCTATTGTATAATATACTCATCAGCAGATCGTGATAGCTTTAGTCTTGCTGAATTAATTTTACAATCACTTTGGACAACAGAGAATATTGCGCAAAAGGCTGTTATATTAGTAGGTAACAAAGCAGATCTAGCTAGAAGTCGAATGATAACGTCAGATGGTACGTATTTATTTAAAATACTAGTTTTAATGTATATGTACATAAGTATAGGTCCTTTATTTAGGTTATTTTACATTCCATTTCGTTTTATTTTCTTTTAATAGAGGGAAAATCTATGGCAACAGCATATGACTGTAAATTTATCGAGACATCCGTTGGTATTAATCATAATGTAGATGAACTTTTAGTTGGATTGTTATCACAAATTCGTTTAAAATTAGAAAATCCAGAAAAGTCAAGGTAACATACACGCATATATATAGAGATTTCTATTTTACAATATTATTGTCTACATATTTTAATTTCAAATATTTTAGGGATTTATTTAGAAAAAGATCGTCGAGGAGAAATAAAAGGGCATGTTCGCCATTAGGCGTTCCTTGCCTTAGTGGTGCTAATAATCCAAGCAATCCAAGTTCCCCTATCGGGCCTAGTCCGACTATAACAGATGGAACACCACCACGTAGTATTCAATGCAGGTAAAACTATAATTAATGTTAAAAAATTTATTTACTATTTCAACGCAAAACCAATTGAGGAAAAAGTGCATTAGCTTTAAGTTGGTCTTTTCTTCAACATTAAAACTTAAGTCAACTCAGTTGTTTTTGTGCAAACTCAAAAATGTAAGTATTATAGGGCGGTTATATTGATAACTTCAACTTACAAGGAATATTTCATAGCAACTGATTGAAGTGATAATACAGATCGATAGAAATTAAATAATCAATGATATTGCTGTAAAAATTTTTTTTTGGATTTTTGATTTAAGTACTTTTCCCTCGAAGCCGAAAAATTTTCGTTAGATTTAAGGTTTTACAACCATTTTTTTTTTAAATAAGCTTTCTGAACGGCTGATAAAAGCGCTTATAACTTAATGTGTCTGCTTTTTCTTAAATCTAATTATAGCAACCATAAAAATTCCATCCGAATTTTTTTCAAATTTATGTGGTCAAATATAACAGATTTTTTTTCTTACAGATTAATTAGAAAAAACTTTATAAAATTCATATGAAAACAAACTGATAACCGTAAAAAAATATTTTTGTACTTTTTTTTGCAAAATCGAAAAAGGTTAAATTAAAAAGGAAATTGATAATTTGAAATGGTTTTATGAAATCCAAATCTTTAAGTTTAATGAGAGTTATTATTATTTGCATAAAAATGAAATTATTTCGCATCCACTTTTCTGATAACTATAATTACCGCCTAATATGAAATAAATAAGGTTCATGATGCATTTCGTTTTCAATATGGTTCTTTTTTACTGATCGTGTTGCATACAATAAAAATTGTTGTGGTAGCACTTAATGCTATAGTGATGGTTATGTGATTGTACATGTTATGTTATAAACATTCTTCTTCACGGTAAGGAAGCGAAAAAAAAACTATTTTTAGGGAGATGTCTGTCGGTTTTTCTTTCTGTAAAAATTGATCAATTGTCGAGATTTCAGGCCTCGGGAACTGGATCCCAAAAACGATCTTTGGATCTTTGAGCAGTTCGGCCCAATTTTGCATATTTACCCAAATAAAGAGAAATAATCAATCAATTTTCTAGAAAATTTATATTTGAAATCGGGATATTAAAACAAGTTCTTGAATTTGTAGAAAGCTCATGGCTCGAAAACCAGTTTTATATTTTTTACCATATCTGTGAAACTAATTGATGTAATTGCTGGATTTTTTATATTTGAGTTGTCTCCGAAAGTACCTGACGAACTTTAAAAGGAATTTGGATGGCACAAAGTGAAACTCTGCTAAGAGCCAAATTTACAATTTTCTGTGTATGTTCCAGGCTTTACTTTCTTAAAATTGGAAAGTAGGGTTAAAATGAATTTTAATAATCTTTTGTAACACTTTCGTTAAACTAGAGAATACACATTGCTGTCGGTTATGTACTGACCACACCAGCCTTTTTACCGACCGTATTGTGTATACAATAGCTAGGTTATGTGAAGGCAACAAATTTTGCATATTGAGTTTTCGGTGGGAATGCACTTTTTCATAGTAGGGAAGTGCAAGTAAACTATTTTTAATAACCTGTCGGTCCGTCAGTCTGTTTGTGTGCAACTTTTGTATTATTTGTTATTTTAACAAATCACAAAAAAGTTAATTAATTTCCTTTTCTTCTTTAATTTATTAATTAATTTCCTTTTTCTTCGATTAATTAAAACAATTTTAATATTAATTGTTATATTTTTTTTTTATTTTATTAATTTCTTTTTCTTTTAGTTATTACAAAAAAATAAAACTTAATTTAATTATATATCCACTTTTCAAAAATTATTTAATATTCTTTTTTTTTCTCTCGCTTAATAAAAAAACTTTTTATTCAAACTTAATTCTTTGACAATCAATTTTCGACTCTCAATTTTTAAGAAAAGAAAAATTAAACCAAGTTATAATTTTTCCTTGCTTTTACAAAAAATATTTAAAAGCAAAATTTGTTTTTACTTTTTTCTTTTTTTATTTTACATTAGGAAACCAATTTGCTGAAAAGAATTATTTTTTAGATTTTTATTTTTTTAGAAATATTTTCACACGAAATTATTAGATTTTTATTTTTTTTTTAGAAATATTTTCACACGGAATAGTTTATTAAGCGATAATTTCAATGCATAAATTTTATACAAGAAACAAAAAGACTATATTAAATGTTTGTAATATTAGATTCTATTTTTATTAGTTATGTAACATAACTCTTAGTACGACGGCTTAAGCCAACATGTGTGATTTAAATAATAAAAAAACAAAACGAGAAAAACAAAAAGTATATTTTGAGTTATATTGAAATGCGATATATCATTAGAAAAAACAAAATAAAGAAAATAAAAAGTATCGCTTAATTAGTATTGTCTATACTGGAAGAGGATATATAACTCCCCCCTTATTAAGCTTGATGTCCTCCTGGACATCACTTTTTCTTGATGTGGTTGGTAATTGGTTAATATTTAATCCCACAGCATTTTCTTGAACTTTTATTTTAATGCATTTTGATTTCCTTTGTTTTACAAAATATAAAATTGGTATAGTTAATGCCATAGTCAGCAAAATTACAATTAGTATATATAAAATTTTGTTATTATTTTCAAATGACATTTTTATTTCTTCAATTTTTTTTATGTTTTCAATTTGTTTTAAGTGGACATCATTTAAGTTTGCTTTTAATTCTATATGATCTATAATTAAATAGTTTGGTAACATGATATGTTCAAATATATAATTTTCTTTATTTGTAAATACAATATTATTTAATTCAATAGAACAGTTACTAAATGTAATTAGATGATTTTTGTTTAAAATATAAGTAATATTATTAACAGAGGTTTTTAATATTAGGTTTTCTGCGTTTTTTACTAATATATTGTTTGAGGATATTTCGATAATTTTTAAATTTTTTTCAATTTCTTTAGTACATTTGTTAACCTTATATTTAACTAAATTTTGAATACATTTGTCAGCAATTTTTAAATTTTTTACGTACAAATTATTTTCATCGATAAAAGTTTTATTTTTGTGTGTAATGAAATTCGAATTTATTAGAGAAATTTCTTTAAATTTATCGTTAGGTATTTGTAAAATTTTAATTTTTTGTGCTAATTGGTCAGATAAATTTGGGATTGAGATAACGAAAATTAGTTTCTCATCCCTTTGAAATATTGAACTTTTAATCTCTTGATATTTAAATGAGTCTATTTCATAACGTTCTATTTCATCTGATGTTAGTATCGAATTAGTCATAATTCCGTGTTTCGCGAATGCTAGGTTACCTTGTATTTTATTAATTTCTTGATTTAGAATATTAATATTATTTAAGATTTGTAAGAATCGAATTTGTTTAATATATTGGCGGTTTTATTTTCTAAGTCGTTGTTAATTTTGATTTGTTGGTTTATTGCTGCTATTGAATTATGGTTATTTAGATCCACCTGGTGAAGATGTAATTCGATTTCAGCTCGATCATCGCTATCCATAGTGCCGAATAACCATCCTAATGTAGAACCTCCAAAATTAATCAAACCCCGTTTCTTTCTATGTATTATAAGTGTTTTTATGTTATGAGATGTTTTGTTTACTTGGGTTTGTAATTGTTTAATAATATATTGGTCTTCAGGACCTTCGAAAAATGTGTTGATAGATTGTTCGATTTTTATTAGCGTCTCTTGCAAGTTATTTGTGTCTATTACGTGAAGTATTTTGGTGTAATTTTGTATTAAAGGAGTTTCGTGTAACTAGAGGATTTGAAACCCCCCATGAGTGTCAAGTTTTTCTAACCGCAAAATTGCTTGTGTAGAGTTTATAAAAAGGAGCAGAAATGTTAAAATAAAAATTTTATACTTGTGGGTTTGTATTTGAGGTTTGACCTTGTGGTGTTGTATTTTGACGTGAAATGAATTTAAATTTCCTTTTAATTCTAGAAGGATGAATATTACGGTTATTATTATCTATTAACTTATTGTCTTCCCGTCGGCTTTCGATCTGAATATACCTTGGGGCGGTTTTGTATCTTTCTGTTTCAGGGTTCTTAACTAAAATTTTACCAGAGTCTTCTGGCTTGAATTCACTTCTATTAATGTTCAGTCTATTTATATTAATTATTTTTTTTCTATGAATTAAATTTCTAATTTGCTCTAGGTTTGAAACTTTACCGTTTAGAATATCAAGTGGTCTAACTTCAATTGTCGAGTGGATTGAGTTATTATATTTTTCCACCGCAAGAAAAACCCTATGAATTGTATTTAGTTTGCATTTTTTTGTTTCAAATATTCTAAGATGTTCGTTAAGAGTTCCATGAACTCTCTCAATGTCAGAGTTGCCCGTGTGGGATCTAGGTGATGTGAAATGAACTTCGATATTTTCTTCCCTACAAAAATCTCTCATATTAAGGCTATTAAATTCGTTATCTAGTACAAGTTTATTGGGTTTTCCTAATATAGCAAATCTAGTTCTAAAAAGATCTATAATAGTTAAAGCATTTCTGTCAGGTAAATGTTGAACCATTAAGTGCTTCGAAAATTTGTCGAAAGTTGTCAAAAAGGTCAGTTTGTAGCAATAAAAAACATCGCCGCAAACAATGTCATTAGGTTCGTCAGGAGTTTCACTTATTTGTAGTTTAGTTTTTTGTGGGTGGCGATCATATTTTGTTTTATTGCACATATTGCAATTGTTTATAAATTTATGGATTATTTCCTTAATTTTTGGGAAGAACCACCTTTTTCTAATTTGATTGAAATTTTCAATTATACCCCGGTGGTTCGAGTCGTTGTGAATTTTTTCTATTATTTCTATTGCTTTATTTTCGTTGGGAATATTTTCTGCTTGAGTTGAACATTTATAGAATTTTATATTATTATTATTTCCAAATAGCTCGATTAATTTTTGTTGTAGTATATTATATTTTTCGTCACCCAATTTTGAAAAAATACCAATTTTTCCCTTTTTTATAACACGACGTAATAGGTCGTTCAAGTAATTATTGTCG